GCGAGAAATTTATGGTTTTTGAATGGGCTGATTATGGAAATTTAAAAGAGTTTTATGATAAATTTGTGATTCCCTGGGCTAGAAAAATACAAATTATAAATGAAATATGTCGTGGTATTTCATTTTTACGTATGGTAAATATTTTGCATCGTGATATTAGATGCGCAAACATTTTTGTAAGTATAAACTAAATATAATGGAGATTTAGTATGTTTGAATGACAATTACTAACTTTAAAATATAGGTACTACGTGACCTGAGCATAAAAATTGGATTTAATCATTTACGTTATTCACATGCATTAAGTAATTTTATTAAATAACTTATTTATATTGATCTGAAAGTATTACTATTTTATATATAAATAAATTTAAATCTTACTTTAATATATCTTGTTTAGAACCCAGCACTTTTCCTTGGATGGCTCCTGAACAAATTGAAAATTATAAATATAATTTTGAAAGCGAAATGTTCAGGTACTTTATGGTTTAATCTTAAACGTTCTTTGAAATTTTTGATATACAATTTATTTCTACTTTAATTATCATTCTTTAATATTAGTTTTGGAATGCTTATATGGGAACTTTGTTATGAAAAGGTTCCTTATGAAGGTTGGGATGAACCACGAATCAAATATCATGTTCTGAAGGGTAAGCGAGAAAATGTTTATGAAGGAAGATTTAAAAACTCTGAAGAGAACGAAATTCAGATAGAATTTATTAATATTATTAATAAAGGTAACTTTTTATCCTTATAATTTTATCCATTTTAGTGTTTACAATTTATGACTTTAATTCTTGTTTAATTGATAAATAGCATGCCATTATAGTCCAAATTCACGAATATCTATTGCGGAATTAAGCTATAAACTTGATGAATTAGCTAAAAAATATCCACTTCTTCCTGATGCACAACTTTTACAGAATAATGAACCAGATTTTAAAGGAAATAATAGTCAAGTTTCTACGGAATCTTTATCGCTAAAATTAGAATTAAAAAATCAAGTTTCTGGGGAATTTTCGTCTCCAAAATTTGATCCTGAAGAAATTATTGAGGAAGCTGATATTATAATACCTCTTGAAGATGGTGTAAAATCGCATTATGCAAAGAAATATGAAGATGCATGGAAATGTTTCATACAAAATTCTGAACTTCCTGAAGCAATATTCTGGCAAGGATATTATTATATGAATGGGTATGTTGTGGAAAAGGATTTAGATCAGGCCAGAAAACTTTACAAAGAAGCTGCTGATGAAAATTATATACCAGCACAGTATGAATATGCAACTATGCTCTCTAAAAAAGAGGATGATGAAACTACAAAAGATAAAAATTTCCAAGAAATTATGCGTTATTTAAAATTAGCGGCTGAAAATGAAAATTTTGATGCAATATATGATATTAGTAATATTTATTTGAAGGGAAAGTTCAATGTGCCAAAAGATGAAAAGCTCGGGTTGGATTATTTAAAATTAGCAGCTGAAAATAGAAATGCTAATGGAATGTATGATATGGGTAATATTTGTTTAGAAGAAAAGTTCAATGTGCCAAAAGATGAAAAACGCGGGGTAAATTATTTAATATTAGCGGCTGAAAATAGAAATGTTAATGCAATGTATGATATGGGTATTATTTATTTGGAAGGAAAGTATAATGTGTCAATATATGGATCTCTCGGGTTGAATTATTTAAAATTAGCAGCCGAAAAAAATAATAAGAAGGCAATAGAAAAATTAGAAATGTTAGGCATACAAATTTAGTTTATTCTTGTTTTATAATAACCATCTATATCATAGTATTTAAAGGATAATAATTTTGCAATCCTTGAATGTATGTCAAGTTGGTGGCGCATTAATCAGCAAATAATAAATTCTAACGATAATAAT